GGCTTTTTTGGGTGTGAATCAAATCTGAATTGTTATACAATGTAGCTGATAACTGAAACAAATCGGCATCTACAAAACTGGTTTTTGATGCATCAAAACAAGTGATTGCACCTCTAGACATAATTAAAATATACCCATGCCTATTTTTTCAGACTTGCTATCCTATGCATATATTTTCACATGGCACCATATATGCATAATACAATCATGGCTATAAGCAAATTTAACAATAATAATTTAAAATATAAGTTTGCCAATAAATGTTTTAATTTACTGTATTTTTTGGTAAACAATAAATAAAATATAACACATACATTCATATAGCTTTACTACAAGGTTGAATAAAATCACAAACAATATGTTTGCCAGAGCCTCCAGAAAATAATTCAAATCAACTTCAGTATGGAATCTACACTCATTCAATATGCTATATTCCTTTCATTTTTATGCAAGTATCAAGAACAATGTTGTCCATGCCACATTTCAATTCATATGTTACAGAAATCATATTTGCATTAATGACATTAACAAAACCATTCCTGAAAAATTTGTAATTTTTGGAAAATTGTAAAACGTTTGTAAAGCTTTTGGAAACTACATGTGGCTTTTCTGAAAATAACTTCTATGGTATTTTCCCACCAAATGAGATTAGTAATTTTTTTTATCCCTATTTTTCTTTTTATCCCTTTTTTCTATCATGAAAAGTGTTTATAAATCTTACCTGGCTGTTCTTATGTCGACACAGGCTACACACCCTGTGTTTTCAGACACCAACATAGTGTGTGGAGACGTGAAAACGAAATTCCTCAACAAAACATCATCCTCTGGTTCATTGAATACCTGGTCATGAAAAAAGATATGAGCCGTGTCATGACAAAACCAAAATAATGGGTTTGTGACCAGCATGCTGTTCGCTATCAGTTTCTCTACTTGTTACAGGGTTGGTAAGCGAACAGCATGGATCCTGATCAGACTGTGCGATGCGCAGGCTGGTCTGGATCCATGCTGGTCGCAAACACACTATGTTGGTTTTGTTGTGACGCGGCTCAAATGTCCATTCAAAGCCAACAGTTTGTTTGTTTGGTTTTACAGCTTACCAACACAGAATATGTTGCTGAAACAGGAAAAAAGATTTTGGTTAACCACTAGAGCAACACCAATTTTTGTAATTAACTTAAGTATTTGCTAAGTGAGCATCGTAGTTTTTTTTCTGTGTTTTTTGTTTGTTTGTATTTTGTTTGGGTTTACGTCGCACCATCACAGTATAGGTCAAATGCTGATTTTCAAGCTTTACTGGTGGAGGAAGAACTCAGGTTCCCTTCCTTGCATTATTTCAAGCACAAATGGGCACATTGGTAAAACCACCCATGTTTCATAAGCTAGCTGGATAGGGTCCTATCATGAAAGAATCCAAAGTGCCTGTCAGGATTCGAACCCCACAGCAGTGAAGGCCAAGTGGTTTGAAAATCAATGACCATAACCAATCAACCACGGACAACCCATTGTTTGATTTCTCACATGCCATATGGTCTCAATATATTTTTCTTAATTTTCACATTTTGGTACAATAAAAATCAAAGTGGTCACCAATGCTTATCTTCAATATATTTATTATGGGGCATATACGAAAAATGAAACCTTACATCCATGAAGATTTCTTTTTGCATATCTCCGCATCTCAGACTTCCGTCATAGCCACAAGAATACATCTTCTCTGGCGAGTGTACAGGAAAATCGAGACATGTGATTGGTCGGGAATGAGGCGCGTAACAACACACCCCTTCAGCTCTTGATTCACTATCACAAAGCTAAAAATAGAAATTGAAATAAGAATTTAAACTTACGTGTTTTACAAAAGTTCGGATTTCCTTTCATTAAAAGGGATCAATTGAAGTTTTGGCTATTTGAGACTATACTGCAATGCTTGTGGTAGGCATTATATTTGCAGGGGGCTTTCAAGCCAATGTTATATTTAGTCAATTCTATAAAATCTCCGAGATGTGAAGTTTCAGAGATTTCTTAACATTTTATGACATAAGAGTCTTTTATTTTATTTTCTTTGTTTGATTATACCTTATTAAGGCAAACTACACTAGGATAGACAACATATATCAAAACTATATCACCGTATGTATAGTTTCTATCATTTAATTTAAGTTTCAGAGGTTATTTTTTCACATTCAAATGAGCCGTGTCATTACAAAACCAACATAGTGTGTTTGCGACCAGCATGGATCCAGACCAGCCTGCGCATCCGCGCAGTCTGATCAGGATCCATGCTGCTTGCTATCAGTTTCTCTATTTGTAATAGGGTTGGTAAGCGAACAGCATGGATCCTGATCAGACTGCGCGGATGCGCAGGCTGGTCTAGATCCATGCTGGTCGCAAAGCCATTAAGTTGGTTTTGTCATGACACGGCTCAAATACTTATTCTTTGTTTCACTGACATGATTTTTTCTCCAATGTTTCATCTCACCTACCTACATATGCTCCAAACCAAACAAATTTAATAAAATCTCAAAGATGTTAAACCTCTGGTGAACATACAAATGTAAGTCACAATTTACCAAGAGACTAAAGAGATGATGATGTAAAAAAGAAATTGAGAATATCACAGCCACCAGTCCATCACAAAAGCTAAAATATCCCTTCTTATAATGGTCAGCATATAATTTCCAACCCAAAAAAGAACTTACTACGTCCCAGATGCCTATTTTTCCCCACTTGTCCCCCACTGCTGCTATCACTTTAGTGTCTGAGGGATGAAGTGCCAATGAGAAGGTCTGTTCAGAACCACTTTTTGCTACATGTTCTGCAGTTACTTTGGTCTTTGACATCTTTTCAGCATATCTGTAAAACAAGTCAGAAAATTAAAACAATATTTTAAGCACAGAAATTATTTTGATATATATAAAATTCTTACTGAATATGTCTTATTTGAAAAAAAAAAGAATGAATAAACTATGTATGGAAGTTGCATTCCTAATTATGGGTCAAGCAATGTTGGTACTTTCTGTGACAACCTAAGTCAATTTAAGTTTAAAACATACAAAATTTATCCAAAAATCTCTCCCTTTGTACAGAGTATATAAAAACTATATGAACGCAAGCAGGTAGAATAACAGAACCACACTACTAGTATATATATAGCCAGGTGAGCATGCACATCTATGTAAATGATGTTGTTAGACCATAACCAATAATGTCAAACTGACATGACAGTACTTGGTCATTTGCTAATAAAAACATTCCAAATTTACAGCAAAGCAAGTACATCATACAAATTTAGCAGGGAATGGGTAATTCAGTTTTGGTTTTACAGCGCACCAACACTATTTACTTCATATGGCACTGGAACATGATTTTGGCTAAACTACAGGTGGATAAATCTTTGTTTGGTTGTTGACCAACATTTTTTGTGCTTGACAATGCTTCACAGGTTTTGAATTTCATATTTTCCTCAGACTTATCAAATCCTCAACCTGCAGACTCAGGCTTAATATGCGTCCTAATGCGTGTCAACACATGATAAATGGTGCATTTAACCATCTATCATTAATACCTTTCTAGATCATCACTTGCTGTTTTAAATGGGTTCATTTTTAAACTTGTTAAAACTCTGCATGTTTCTGTATGATTTTCTTCAGTCGTTGAGCCATGAAGATATTCCTTCATCTCAAGAGGCCCTGCTGGGGGTCTCAGCTACAAAAATGTATAAATCTGTGTTAGACTACAACAAACAAGAGCTGTCAGTAGGACAGTACGCTTGCCTAATCTGTGCTTAAGCGACCACCAAATGTGATATTTAAAGATGTGTGTTAAGTTTTGTGTGAAAAGTTATATTCCCCTGTCTGTAATTGGTTGATATTGATTATCATTTCTCGATTCATATTATATTTCATTACATTACATAAATTAAAAGGATGATTTTTTTAAATGTCTGGTAAAGCTAGTATTAATCTTTTTAGTATTAGGAGAGAAAATCATCCTATCAACACATCATAAAATTTGAAAAAATTTGGGAAGGTTTTAATCAATTTTTGTTACACAATACATATGTGTTAAATAATGGAGACACTTTGTTTTTGAAAACTCTCCACATGTAAGTACATATTATATAAGAGGCATAATGAATATATACAATAATTTCCATTATATTACTCCATGTTATTACTCTATGTATCAATTTTAAACCTTAAAAATGAACCTTTAATTTCTTTTTAATATGTTTTAGAAATAAACCCAAAATATAATGCTATTATTCTGTCAAAAAATTAATAAATCCCTTTTTCAATATATAACAAAATAATTCTTACATGTTGAACTGGTTCAGAAAAGGTATAAGCCACTCTGTTAATCAGGGCTTCCGGTGGTAACTCTATACCGTCTGGTGTTTTGTTCTGTAACCTCAGACTACTTCTTCGTGGCAAAATCTCCTTTGGAACTATTTCCCTAAAATTCAAAACAAAGAAATAGTCTGAAAAGACAATAAAACAGTATGATCTGATCAACAAATACACAAATTTTTATCAATTTCATCAAAAGTTTAACTGCAGCAATATAAAATGATAATATAACAACCTCTTCGAGGTCAAATCTTTGCTCAAATGAGGAAAATCATTAATATAAGTCTGGTTAATAACATGTGTTTAAATCACTAGTATTTTTGATGATAATGAATAAAATATCATTTTCAAAGCATAATTGATTTTTTTCATTTTGTGCATATTTCAAAATAATATACAGTTTCATTTCACCAATAGCAGCAACTTAATCTACCAATGTGACCAGAGCAAATCAAGATCAACCTGCATATTCATGACCTCTGCTCATAATCTGCCCTATTGCTAGTTCTGATTTTGAAATTTGTTTTAAGAATAATGAATGGTTTTGTCCAGATTTAACGACGGACAAGTCCATTTAAGATATTTAGTATGGCAAGGGTTATTACTTTTTCAGGCCCCTATTAGATGGCGCAGTCTTCTTTACCGACGCAAGGAGATCTTGTTTAGCCTGTAATAAAATAGTAAATTAATAATTAACATATTTCAAATTAAAAATTAATTTGTCATTGAAAAAAAGGAAAGTTAAAGTCACTTTATTTTCGTTATAAATTGAAATTGAATAAAACTTTTTCCATGGTGAACTGCCACCATATTACTTGGAACAAAAAGATCCACTATTACTTTATCTTAACTTTCAACATGCTAAATCTGTAAAATGAGCATGCCCAAGTAAAATTTTGGAACAGTCTACTGTCAATAAACAATAGGGCCATGATGGCCCTGGATCGCTCCCCTGACCCATCAACCGCATCCAAGCAATGTCTTAGACACGCACCCTGGCCAAGTTTGATGACAATTGAGTCAAAAATGTGACCTCTAGTGAATTAAAAAGGTTTTCAATATTTAGGCAATGCGACCAAATTTTTGACTGGAGACGACCCACATTCGAACTTGACCTAGAAATCATCAAAACAACCTTCCTGACAAATTTCCAGAATATTTGGATGAAAAATGCAGCCAGTAGAGTTTTAACAAGTTTTATCTATTTTTAGCTCCTGTGACCTAGTTTTTGACCGGAGATGACCAATCTTCGAACTTGACCTAGAAATTATCAAAACAACCTTCCTGACAAATTTCCAGAATATTTGGATCAAAACTGCAGCCAGTAATGTTAACAAGCTTTTTCTATTTTTAGCTCCTGTGACCTATTTTTTGACCGGAGATAACCCATCTTCGAACTTGCCCCAGAAATCATCAAAACAACCTTCCTGACAAATTTCCAAAATATTTGGATGAAAACTGCAGCCCCTAGAGTGTTAACAAGCTTTTTCTATTTTTAGCTCCTGTGACCTAGTTTTTTACCGGAGATGGCCCATCTTCGAACTTGATCTGTATTTCATTGAGACAAACATTCTGACAAAGTCTGACAATGATCCAACCAAAACTGTGTCTGCTAGACTGTTAACAACCCAATTGTTGACGACAAAAGACGCACAACGATGGACATAGCCCCATCACTATACCTCACCTTGACCACTTTGTGGTCAGGTGAGCTAAAAAGCTGAATGTCATAAGTTGAAAAAGAACACAACAGCCAAAAATGTAGAATCTGGTCAAACCATCCTTTACTTATAGATAACATAATATAGCACATAAATTTTAGATAATTTTAGGTGCCTGTTCATTTAAAATTTATTGAGATTCATGCTACAGCAACACTGTATGGAAAACGAGAGTTTGATTATGCCTTGGTGGTCAATTGTAATCCCATGAACATCAGCATGTAATGGACGTATTTTCAGTAGTTCCTTTTCACAGTCTTTTCTTTCTCCTAAAAGAACTGTCTCTGTTTCTTAAACATTAAACCAATGCCACAAAGCAAAGAAAGAACATTTTTGGAATTCAATTTTTTTTCTATGAAAAAACAAAAAACATTCACTATACCTTATCCAGACCAAACTGACTTAGAAATTCTCTGTTCAGGCGCAAGTTTTCTTCACGTCTCTTGGCATAATCAATCTGAAATTAGAAACTAAGTATTTGAGCTGCGTTACGACAAAACCAGCATAATGGGTTTGCGACCAGCATGGATCCAGACCAGTCTGCGCGTTTGCGCAGTCTCATCAGGATCCATGCTGTTCACTATCAGTTTCTCTACTTGTAAAAGAGTTGGTAAGCGAACAGCATGGATCCTGATCAGACTGCGCGGATGTGCAGGCTGGTCTGGATCCATGCTGGTAGCAAATGCATTACGTTGGTTTTGTTGTGACACGGCTCATTTAACTACGTAGTCACAACCAGCGTTGCCTTTTTAGTTTAAATTTGGGCACTTGAGATGCATTTAAGATTTTTATCTATGTGCCGAAATTTGCATAAACTAGGTAAATTACACTAGATTATGTGTAATGTCAAACTTCAATACAAAAGTAAATGTACTACAAGATTAGGGCAACAACTGCTTTAACAAGAGCTGTCGGTAGGACAGCAATGCTCGACTATTCTTAGTGCATGATTATGAGTAAAAAAAGCCTTGATTAAAAGGTAAAATTTTCTCAGTAAAGAAAAAGGCAAAATTTTTCTTTAAATCCATATTACAGTTATAGGCATTGGAGAGAGTCCTATTATGCTCTCAAAGAAGAGTATAAAATTTCAACATGTTTCTGAATAAGAATAGAGTGATCTACAAAGGCGATCTATTCTTATTCAGAAACTACAAACCCTTAATATCAGCAATAAAACAATACTGTGGTTTAAGTCCTACCTACAGGATAGGCTTCAAAAGGTATCTATATCTGGGAAACTATCAGAACCAGGACATATTAAATCAGGAGTTCCCCAAGGATCTGTTCTTGGTCCACTTTTATTTCTTATATATATAAATGATCTTCCAAAGGAACTAAAGGAAATTTTTACAGATATATTTGCTGATGATACAACTATTTCTGCAGTTGGAACAACTTATCTGGAAGTACAAACTAAATTACAAACTGCATTAGATAATGTAAATTTTTAGTGTCAAATGAACGCTATAATGTCACTAAATGCAAAGAAATCAAAGGCAATGGCAATTTGTCCATCAAACAAAACAAACTCCAAATTATTAAACATGCTACATTTAGACAATAATTTAATAGAATGTTCCAACTCTGAAAAACTTCTAGGTGTCCATGTTGACAGCAAATTAAACTGGAAAAAACATATTAATCATGTGTTAAAAAAGTGCAATTCCAAATCATAGGTACTGCAAAGAATTAAATATTTCATAGACATTCCCATTAGAAAACTATTTTTTAACTCCTACATACTACCTCACTTAGACTATTGTTGCTCTATCTGGGGAAATTGTAATTTGGAGCAAATACAATCCATAGTTCGATTTCAAAAACGAGCAGCTAGGATTATACTAGATCAACCATATGATGCCCCGTCTGAAGATCTATTCATTTTATTAAACTGGATGAAATTCCCAGACCGAGTCAAATATAAACAAGCAATTATGGTATATAAGTCAATCAACAATATTTGCCCGGAGTACTTAAAACAAAAATTTACCTTCAAAATTTACTTTCAACCATACTATTCATTCTCGCACCCTACGTTCAACAGATTCAAAACTTAACATATACCAACCAAAACCAAAAGTAGAATTTTTCAGAAAAAGTTTTAACTATTCAGGATCAAAAATTTGGCATGAAATACCAACCAGCATAAGCTCTGCACAATCACTTCAAAACTTTAAACATAAATACATAGAAAATTGGAAAAAGACAAATCAAATATTAAGAGAATATTTTTTCGTTTGAGTGAAATATGGAATATATTTTCACGAAACATGATAAAATGCCACATATTTTCACGAGCCGGGACGGCGAGTGAAAATATGTGGCATTTTATCATGTTCACGAAAAACGAAAAAATAACCTTTTTATTTAATTTCAATATCAAAGAAAAATGGTTACGAACCCCCTTGCTTGCTACGCAACTGCAATTGTACAGCGCGCAGTAATATAATTATTGTCTTGTTTTGCACGTGATATTTAGCGCTACATTGTGACGTCACGTAAACAACTTTCTAAACGTCTGTACAGCGTTAATGACTTAATTAAAGATATTGGTGTTCGGATTTATTTTCTAAGTTAAACCATTTTCTATCATTCTAGATAGTTTTCAAAACAAAATTCAACAAAAATTTGTTTTGAATTTTCAGATTTTTCAAACAAAATGGCGAAAGAAGTCCCGTAAAATAAATATTAGTTTTGACTCCTCCCACTTTCATATTTATATTTCATATTTATTTTTAAAAAATATGAAATATATTTGACTGATATATCACCATGTTTCATGGGTTAAATTAAATAATAAGAGGATATTTTTTCGTTTGCGTGAAATATGGAATATATATTCACGAAACATGATAAAATGCCACATATTTTCACGAGCCGGTACGGCGAGTGAAAATATGTGGCATTTTATCATGTTGAGTGAAAATATATACCATATTTCACGAAAAACGAAAAAATAACCTTTTTATTTAATTTCATTATCAAAGAAAATGGTACCGAAACCCCTTGCTTGCTACCAACTGCAATTGTACAGCGCGCAGTAATTTATGCGTAAGCACGCGCTGTTTGGCGCTACATTGTGACGTCATGTAAACAACTCTTTATACGTCTGTACAGCGTTAATTACTGAATTAAAGATATTGGTGTTCGGATTAATTTTCTTAGTTAGACCATTTTCTAATATGCTAGATAGTTTTCAAAACAATATTCAAGAAAAAAGTTGTTTTGTATTTATCAGATTTTTCAAACAAAACGGCGAAAAAAGTCCCTTAAAATAAATATGAGTTTTGACTCCGCCCACTTTCATATTTATATTTCATATTTATTTTTAAAAAATATGAAATATATTTGACTGATATAGCACCATATTTCATGGGTAAAATTAAATAAAAAATTATAATTGAAATATTGTTATTGTCAAAGGTTTATTTGTAATTTTGAAATGCCTTGTTCACTGTGTATTTTTTTGTGTGCACTTTATATAATTATTATCATTATTGTCTATTTGCAATATCAAAATAATTATGTTAATGTTATTGCATAATATTTCATGTAATTCACAACTGTATGATTGTAAATATGTACATTTTATGAGGCCCACAGGGTAGATTGCCTTTGATGCAACTGTGTAGCCTCTTGGAAATAAAGACTTATTATTATTATTATTATTCAAAGCCTTATGTCAATGAACTTTGAAAATATTTTTGAGGTATTACAAAAACTTTAACGTAAATTCTAAGTCGAAGAAGGGCATAATTTCCGTCAAAATGCTTGATAGAGTTACCTCCTCCTGTCTACAGGTTGGGATCATGATGTGTGAACAAGTGTGCAAAGTTTCAAAAACCATATTGTCAATGGACTTTGAAAATATTTGAGGTATTACAAAAACTTTAACATAAGTGGTTAGGCCCACGCCGACGCTCGGGTGACTACAATAGCTCTACTTTATAATTCTTATCGAATAGTCAAGTTAAAAAGAAAGATAATGTACTATTGAACTAAAAAACAACAAGCAATTATCATAGTATTGCAAGCAATCCATAAGTCCCCTACCAGTTAGAACCCCAGCAACATTCTGATGGGCCATTGGCCATTCAATTATACCACTAGATTGATAAACCTTGTCATATTATTATGATGTTGGAGTTTGAAGTAATGAAGAGGTTGGAGTAAAAGATATGAATTTCTCGAAAAAAATCAAAGGGGGACATAATTCTGGAAATAGTCTTGCTAGAGTATTGAACCTTCTCACAAATGTTGAGGGATAATAACAAACATATATATGAAGTTTGAAGTAGATACATTAAGAAACAAGAGCTGTCGGTAGGACAGCAACGCTTGACTATTCTTAGTGCTTGATAGTAAAAAAAAATGCTTGATACAGTTACCTCCTCCTGTTTACAGGTTGGGGTAATGATGGTGAACAAGTGTGCAAAGTTTAAAAGCCATAGGTCAATGGAGTTTGAAAATATTTGAACTATTACAAAAACTTTAACGTAAATTCTAAGTCCAAAAAGGGGCATAATTCTGTCAAAATGCTTGATACAGTTACCTCCTCCTGTTTACAGGTTGGGGTAATGATGGTGAACAAGTGTGCAAAGTTTTAAAGACATATGTCAATGGACTTTGAAAACATTTGAACTATTACAAAAACTTAAACGTAAATTCTAAGTCAAAAAAGGGGCATAATTCTGTCAAAATGCTTGATACAGTTACCTCCTCCTGTCTACAGGTTGGGGTAATGATGGTGAACAAGTGTGCAAAGTTTCAAAGACATATGTCAATGGACTTTGAAAATATTTGAACTATTACAAAAACTTTAACATAAATTCTAAGTCAAACAAGATTGCATTTGTGAAAAATGCTATGCCACCGCATTAATACAACACTAAATAGTAGTGTATAGGAACAGATTTTTTTTGTTTCTATACAATTTTGAAGATTGTCATAATGCATAGATCCCTAACCTATCTAATTCTTATTATCAGATTAGTGGTTAAATCTGTTGTTAACTCAATAAAAGATCAGAGTAGGAATATATCAATGCACTCTAGTCTAGTGAATTTGGTAGCAAAGGTCATATTTCACACAGCCTAAATTTCATGACTACATCAAAGGACAACACAGTAAGACACTTTGTCAAAATCTAGGTCAGCTGAAATCAAAGTTCACTTTAAATCTTAATCTGTGCACATGGTTCAAATTTCAAAGCTGTACATCAAATGACAAGAAAAAGTAGGTCACATCATCAAAATCTAGGTCACCTGATATCACAGTTCAATTTTACAACTAAAACTGTGCACATGGTCAAAATTTCATTGCTGTACATTAAAGGACAAGGAAGTAGGGTCACTCGGTCCCCTTGGCAAGGCAAAATTTTGGACCCAAGGGTTTAATTCAAACCAAATCTTGATACAGGTCCACCAAAATAACATTTCAAGTCAAATATCTAAGCTGTAGCTTTCTCCCATTCAGAAAACATTTGTTTTATTTTTACTATGTGTACA